GGAAAAGGAAGGACAAACGGTTCTCATGGGGAATAATGATGCAGCGATGGTTGCCGGGAGATGAGTGGTGGAGATTAACTTTACTTCCGGAAAGAAGCTTACTTTGAACAATGTTCTTCATGTTCCTGACATTAGGAAAAATCTTGTATCTGCTAGTCTTATGTGTAAAAATGGGCTTAAGATTGTACTTGAGGGCAATAATTGTATTGTATCTAAGAATGAGATCTTTGTGGGAAATGGATATTCTTGTGATGACATGTACAAACTAAGTATTAATAATAAAGATGATGTGAATTCTCTTTATATTGTTGATTCTTTTGGTGTTTAGCATGCACGTTTAGCACACTTAAATTTTAGATCTTTGAAATATATGTCTAAACATGGTTTGATTAATTGCAAAGATATTAAAAATGATAAGTGTGAAATTTGCATACAAGCAAAGATGACTAAGAAACCCTTTCCTATAGCTGAACGTAATACTCAAATATTGGATATGATTTATACCGATATTTGTGAGCATAATGGAATTTTGACAAGAGGAGGAAAGAGATACTTTATCACTTTTATTGATGATTGTTCTAGATACACTTATGTGTATTTACTTAGAACAAAAGATGAAGCCTTTGATAAATTTAAAATTTATAAGGCTCAAATTGAGAACCAAAAAAATAAGAAGATCAAAATGGTTCGAAGTGATAGAGGTGGTAAATATTTCTCAAATGAATTTGATGCTTTCTGTGAAGAGCATTGAATTATTCACCAAAAGTCAGCCCCTTTTACTCCTCAACAAAATGGATTGGCTGAAAGAAAGAATAGAATTTTTACCGATATGATTAACTCTATGCTTCTTAATGCTAAATTGCCTAATAATTTATGGGGGAAAGCTTTACTTACAGCATGTCATGTTCACAATAAGATTACATTTATGAAAACACATGTCTCTCCATATGAAGTATGGAAATGAAGAAAATCAAACTTGATGTATTTAAGGGTGTGGGGCTGTCTAGCCTTTTATAGAGTAATTGACCCTAAATCATCAAAGTTAGGAGCTAGAGGACGACAATGCAAGTACATTGAATTTCCCTGGTTATTGAATCTAGATTCTAATGTTATTGTAGAATCAAGAGACGTTGAATTTATTGAGAACAAGTTTAGCCTTGATTCTTCCATTGAATTAGAATCTAATGTTAATAAATCATATGTTGACATTCCCGGAACCTCCACTAATAAAATGAAAGAGTCTATGACATCTTTCGAACCGAGAAAAAGTCAACGTGAAATAAAAGAAAAGGACTTATGACCGGATTTTATTTCATCCCAAGCTTTAACCTTTTTGGTTGAAAGAGATAGAAATTATGCACTTAATAAAATACTATTGTTGCTTAATATAGAAGAAGATCCAAAGACATTTAATGAAGCTGTGTCTTCAAGAAATGTCTCTTTTTGGAGAGATGCCGTTAATGATGAAATAGATTCGATTATCTCGAATCAAACTTGGATCTTGGTTGATTTTTCACCGGGATCAAAACCAATAAGCAACAAATGGGTGTTTAGAAGAAAGTACAATACCGATGGGTCTATACAAACATTCCAAGCTAGATTGGTAGCTAAGGGCTTTAAACAAAAGCGTGGTATAGACTATTTTGATACATATGCTCCGGTAGCTAGATTGACATCCATAAGTGTTATTTACAATTGCAGCAATATACAATTTGCATGTGCATCAAATGGATGTTAATACGGCTTTTTTAAATTGTGATCTTGATGAGAAAATCTATATGGAACAACCCGAAAGAGGGTGTACTACTTGGAAATGAAAAGAAGGTCTGTAAGTTAGTCAAGTCACTTTATGGTTTAAAGCAAGCACCAAAACAATGGCATGAGAAATTTGATAATGTCATTTTATCTCATGGTTTTAAGCATAATAATGCGGATAAATGCATATACTCTAAATTTACAAATAGTTTTGATTTGATTATATGCTTATATGTTGATGACTTGCTTATCTTTGGAACAAACATGCAAGGGGTAAATGATACCAAGAAATATCTAACTTCACAATTTAAGATGAAAGATCTTGGTGAGGTAGATACTATCTTAGGTGTAAGAGTGAGGAAGCATAGTGGATGTTACTCGTTGTGTCAATCTCATTATATTAAAAAGGTGCTTCTTAAATTCAATCATTTGAAGTTTAAAGAAACAAATACTTCATTTGATTCTAGTATTAAATTACTAGAGAATGCAGGCCGAGTGGTGGCACAGCTTGAATATGCTATTGCGATTGGTAGCTTAATGTATGCTATGCATTGTACAAGACCCGACATAGCATTTGCGGTATGCAAAATGTCTAGGTTCACGAGTAACCCGGGTATTGAACATTGGAATGCAATTGGTAGAGTACTTAGTTATCTTAAAAGAACTATTAATTTGGGTTTGTCATATAATGACTATCTGACGGTACTTGAAGGGTACTCGGATGCAAGTTGGATAACAAGTGCAAGTGATAATAAATCCACATCCGGTTGAATTTTCACAATTGCGAGAGGAGCCGTCTCTTGGGCTTCTAAGAAACAAACGTGCATAACTCATTCCACGATGAAGAGTGAGTTTATAGCACTTGCCGCTGCGGGCAAAGAAGCGGAATGACTGAAAAATCTATTGTTTGATATTAAGATGTGACAACAACCGATGTCATCTATTTCTTTGTACTACGATAGTGAAGCTACTTTGTCTAGAGCTTATAACAAAGTTTATAATGGGAAATCTAGACATATTAGCTTGAGACATGAATATGTGAAATAATTAATAACCGATAGAGTTATTAATATTGTTTATATTAAGATAAACAAGAACCTAGCGGATCCTTTGAGAAAAGGTCTTTCAAGAGACTTAGTCAAAGAAACGTCTAGTGGAATGAGACTGAAACCTTTCTTTGAAATAGTCACCGATGATGGTAACCCAACTATGTAGTAGTTGTACCGCTATTCTATAGTTAAATGGGTAAGAACAAGTCATTGTTATGTGACCGGGTTAGCACTAAATTTTAATTAGTCCCTTCCAAGATGTCGGTGCAATATAGCTACGTGGTTGAGGTTGAGTTTATACTCTTAATGGAGTTCGAGTCTCATAGTAGCTAGAGATATAATTTGAATCTTCACCTAAGTGAACATAAGGAATGGTGCCGTTCTTAACAAGACCATGATTTAGTCTTGTAAATGTTCATGAATCCAAGATAGAGCACAAGGCCGAAATAGTACTAAATGATTGAAACAGATTTTTAAGTCTGGGATAACACATATGTGATATATTTCCGGTATTTACTTAAGAGACAAAATTTAATGCAAGCACACTATTGTCTTGTGAATACTTTGAAGTATAGTCACTAAGTGGAGGTTAAAATCGAAAGATACCTTAATGTATGTACGTGTTTATCATTGCTAATTCTGGAGAAATATTACAATCTAGTGAGAGATTGTAATATATCTCTCAATTACAATATCACGTAATTATTTGGACTAAAACACAAGAAGAATACGCTGCAGCGAAATATGCACCAATTCTGGTGCATGGACGCGCAGCAGCGCCTGTTTTGGGCGCTACAGCGCCTGTTTAAGGCCCTGAGCGCTGCAGTGGGAATATCATCCGCTGCAGCGTAAATTGCTACCGAAAACGTGTTTTCGTGTGTTTTAATGATCTGAAAGGTTTTGGACCATTGCATCCTTTGGTGATATATTTTCTCACATATCTGAGCACTTATTAACAATAGATATAACCATTGTTATAAGTGCATCAGCCCATGAAAAGATACCTTCATATTGGAAAAAGCATTTTTATGTGAAAGGTTGTAACGTTTAAAGATGATGCATCCACCCCTGTCTTTAATAAATGCTCCAAAAAATATACAGACTTAATTTTTGTTCTGGAACTCAATATTTTTGCTGGATATTGTGTTCAAGGGTTTGATGTATCTTGAAGGTAATTTGCTATTAAAACTCATTAGCAAACTTTGAGAAGTGAGGGCAAATAAAATCTTAAACGAAAGTATTCCTATACGCCTCAAACCCTTTTCTTGTTTTCTATATTCTTTTCATCCTCCCAAATCCGAATTTTCCAACATCTTCATCATCGGTGGCAAGTTTACAAAGAAGGGATGTGCATATCTCGCTGATCTGCTGAGCTGCTTCACGACTGAGAAGGTGGTGGTGGTGATGACAGTCGTAATATTGTGAAGATGGTAGAGGTGGACGGAGTAAAAGTCACGGTGGTGGTAGTGATGACGGTCGTAATATTGTGAAGATGGTGGAGGTGGACGGAGTAAAAGTCACGGTGGTGGTGGTGATGACGGTCGTTTGTCACCGATCATGGTGTCGAACCCCGAAAAAACCGAAAATTTTGATACCAACTGACGCAACGAAATGGATAGGAAGGGGATTTTACAAGGTAAATTCAGACGAAAAACGGGACATGTAATTCTAAATTTACCTAAAAAAACTCACAAGACGAAAATTCTCAATTAGAGGAAACTCAAGTCTAATTCAATTATAAAAAATTTAAAATCCCTTAATACAATAGCTCAAGTGGGTATTTATAATCCACTTACAAAACGATAACAAAATAATTATTAAGATAAACGACATAAAAGTAATAAAGCTTAGCTAAATTCTCAAATTAAGACAAACGACAATAAAATATAAAAACGACAACTAATATTCAAATCTCTCTATGTCACAAGCTTAGTTCATTCGGAAGAAAAATAAATAAAATAATAAATAAAATAAAATAGAGGTAAAAAGAGAGACCAAGTGAAGAAAATATAGTTGCATTGTAATTTTCAGTTTAAGATTTTGATTCCATTGGGCCCCCGAAAAAAAAAATTGGCTCAGCTACTGAGACCGATGGTAGCCTACCATGATCAAGATATATATTTCCTTCCAGGAATTCCCGTTAAATGTAATTGCTGGAGAAAAAAAAAAGAAAAAAGAAAAAAGAAAAAAGAGGGCAGAGAAGAAAATAGGCTGTAACTCAATACTTTGTGGGAAGGTAGTTATACGAGTCATGGTTGTAGAATTGTCATCAAAATTTAGCTAATTACTAAAGCTGAAGAGAAGTGTAATAAGTTTTTGGAGGGGGAAAATGAATATCTATAAAGACGAATAACAAGGCCTGCCTTGAAGAAATCAAGAAAGCATAAAATCAGAATTTCAGAAGGTAAATCTAAAAATACATGTAGCAATAGTTGCGGGGCAAACAAAATACAGGAATTAGATGCTTTTTACCTACAATTTTTCCCAACTTCTTAGTATTATTAGCATGTATAGTCTAGTGTGTTACTGAGGCAATTCCAGGTCTGGTCTGCGGTCAAGTATTTCTCCTTTTGAGTCATCTGGAAACGCATCTGGATAGGTAGCCAAGATTCTCGATTTCATACTCCTGTTAGACAGAGAAAGAGGGAGTCAAATTACCGAACTAAGGAAAGAGATTATGGCTAGAAAACTTGCAATCTACAAATAAGCAACCACTGGAATGAAAACTGCAAGAGTATAGTAACACAATCATTGTAATAACTTAAAAAAAAAAGAGTATACTCCAAGCAATTAGGATGGAAGCGATGAGACCATATAAGATGCACCAACCTTAGCTTCTGAAATATGTAGTCGAGATCTGACTTCATAGACTTCAGGACCCGCGTAGTTTTTGTGAGATCTCCAGAAACCTCAGCATAGCAATTTTCAGAATACTCGTTAAAATGTGACAGAACCGCATTGCTGTCTTGCAACCTTCCCAATCTGCACCCAAGAGAAGAAATTATAGCTGGAAATAAATCAGCAACTATTCCAAGCACCGTTCAAGAAATCAGCAACAAGTAACAACATAGTGTTGGATGCCATAACGGAAACTGCAAGACCCCACATATTAATTTGGCAAAATCAGACATCATTTTTGCTGCTGGAGTAATTTCTCTTGTAAATTCACAAATCAGACATTCCATCAAATTGTAAATATGCAAATGCAATTGTTTTAACTAAAAATAATGAGTTCAAAGAAGAACCATGAGTTCTAGACTTTTGTCTATTTATCCATTAATTAGAATGTAGAGCCCCCAATTTACATCCTAAAGTGCTCTGACACAAGCTTTCATTAGAAGACAATACCATCATACTTCACCAAGATATCTTCAACACCTGATCCAAAATCCGAACATAAAGGGTTCAAAATCATAGTTCTTTATCTATTTATTTATTTTGTGTGTGCATACGAAACCAACAATTAACCTTGGATTGAAAGAAATGTAATCAACATTTATTGGAAAACGTGACCCCAAAGATTTGGGACCAAAATCCATAAAAGGATTTCAAATGATGAGTAGATCATCGACATACCAAAATCAAAATCTCGGCTTTCCTTTGCCAATCAATTGAAGATACTCACTTAGCCGTCGAAAGCTACACTTTATGTAACTCAAACTCGAAGTTTGCATATTCTTCAGCCAACATAACATTATTTCTTCTAATTAAAGACAGGAACGGCTTTGTCATCATCTACCAAGTATCGTCGGAAGAAGGTACAACAACATTCTCCCAACGCAGCATCTTCTTTTGCCACCTTATTAAGTGGGAATTTCTACAGAACAAAGGCTATACAAGGAATGGCATGTTGAAACAAAAGTTGCACTCCTAAAAACGTCACAACAAAACATGACAAACACTGAAAACCCAATAATTTCAGTTCTCAAAATCTTTCCAATCCTAATCTCAAGTCCACATATCCATAAGCATTCCTCAATCATTTTAATTCACTTCACGAAATCAGAGACGTTTATTTTACCATGAATTGAAAAAGGAAAAGAGAGGAATTTTTTCCTTTCTCACCTATTCATATCATATGTTAAGTTTACTTACAAACTTAGCATTTGCAGAAAATGAGAAAAGAAAATGCCAATATTAAGTCTTTACTTTGTTGCTTGCAATTCAATTGAAATAAGCCAAAAAAAAATTTTATTTTATAGTCTTACTACTTTTTTTTTTTAAGTCTTACTACTTGAAAGGTAATTGAAAATCCAATTCGTAACATGCAAATAACCGCCAGAAAGGGAATAATCTCCTTTCTTTTATTCGTTTCATTCCTTTCAATCACATTCTTAAGGAAGGCAAGGAAATTCCGAAAACCTAATTAGTTCACATTTGAGCTAATATTATAAATCAAACGTAAACTTGAAATTACAAAAATTATTCCTTTCCAACAGAATTATTAATGAAAAGCGAGAAATTGCAAGGATTAACATTAATCAAAAGAAACCTAATTCAGTACAAGAGAGAAACGTGGAAAGATCGACAAAATCAAGCAAATGTTAGAGAGCAAGAGAGTACATGAGATGTTGAGTTTGCTTGAGGGAATCCAAATCGCGAGCGTTGACTAAGGTTTTGAAGTGGTGGGATATATCTTCTGACGCTTCCTTCAACGGATCTTTCTCCTTTTTCTGCTCCGCCATTGCCAAACTACGTAATGAAGTTAGGGGAAGAATAAGAGATGACGGAACGTGGGTGGGTCTTTGGTTGGTTGGGTTGGGCTATTCAATCGTTCCGCGGCCCATACTCCAAAGCATGAAAGGACCAATCAAATGGCCTCGACATTAGGCCCAGTAACACTTTTACAAGATCATTACAAAACATTTGAGAAAATTACACATTCTACCTGACTTATTAAAATTACTTTTTTTAAAAACCTCTATCTTTTAATTAGGGCTCATTCACTTTGTTGATTCGAGTTTCTAATTTAAATTGAGATGTGATTTTATGTGAGAGCTTTTTACTGTAGCAAAAAAGTTAGATGTAACTGTTTCTGATAGCTTTTTACTGTAGCAAAACTCGAATTGGCGAAATGAACGGGGCCTTAGTTTTAATCTAAAAAGTAAAAATAGGGTCTTTTTAAAAATTACCCTACAAATTCTCGTCTTTCTCCCCCTAATCTATCTAATTCTCTCCTTAAGAAGATAATATGTCATATAATTTTTATATATTTTCAAATATATCTTCTTTAAATACTTTTCTTACAGTTATTTAAAATTATTTTTTAATTATCATGCTAAATTAATTTATTTTAAAATGTGTCTCTACATAAACATCTTTTACTTGTGACATTCATAAATTTAAGTTTCAGTTGTGAAACATTTTCGTATAAGTTTTTTTCTTAATTTTTTTTGTCTTTTTTTTCTTATCTTTTACTTTATTTTTTCATTTTGTCTTTATTTCTTTATCATTTTTTTCTCCAAGTAATTTATATAAATGAGTTACATGTACGGAGCATGCGTTTTTAATAACTAATTAATAACCTAAACTTCTCCTAAAAACCATCCCTGCAAGAGACCCCAAACTCGCATGCACGCATGCAGTTCCCTATTTAATCTGCCCTCATAAGCCATACCTACCCATTCTCACCAATCAAAACACAAAAACACTTTTCCCGGGAACCAAACAAACAAAATCCACCCCATAATCATTTCCCTGATGCAAAATCTTCTAACAAAACAGAAAAACCTTCCACAGTGCCCTAGAAAACCCTAAGCCCTTCCCGAAAACCCATAATTAATTTTTCACAAAACAAGAAAATCTTCAAACCATGAAAAAACAAGTAAACTACACTGCAGTTAGTCAAAGCTCTCTAAACCCTAATCCTTCCTAGATTTACGCTAGGCAAACCCTAAAAACAGTCTATTATATCAATATTAATTAACATTATATCTTTAAAAACAACCTGGCTGCAGAACTGTACATGAATACTTCTGTAACTTTTTCTTTTCCCTTCTCCCAAAAAGACTAATAAATAAACGACCTTTAGTTCAGAGCAAAAAGTAAATAAAATAAATAAATAAATATACGACCTTTAATTAAGGCTTTTTTTCTTAGCCCTTTTTCTTTAAAAAAAATAAATTTGAAAAGTACTACATAGCTTGAGAGTAGAACAAATATATATTACTGTCATGAAAAAGCATCTAACAGCACGCGCGTTCTGAAAAATACTCACCTGGAAAAAGTTCATCATTTGTCGTAGCTTTCTTTGTAGAAAGACAGAGAGATAATAAAGAATAAAAAGAAAGAAAGAAAAAGAGACTCTGATAAAATACTACAGGTGGTTTTTTCTTTTGTTTTTTTTATTTATTCGTCTTTAAGCGTGAGAATAATATTACACTTAACTATAGACAAAAGTGGGAAGTGAATATGCTTATTATGCGTACCTCTGTACATGTAATGTGTATATTTTTTGCAGTTTGCAGAGGTCCATGCACGCGGGTAAGGCTAAACCTAACAGTTTTCCCCTTTTAATTCTTTTGCTGATCTCCACAGTACTGGGGACTGCTGCAGGAGGGACCGAAAGGTGATTGACTATTTTATTTTATTACGCTAATTAAAGAAATGAAAGAAAAATAAATATAATTCCCTTTTGGACTCTTCTACAGTCCCCCACATTGAATTTGCGAAAATACTAAAAAATAAGTTAACATGAAAAGCTTAAGAAACTATATAAGTTAATTTTTAGTTATAGAAATTAATAAGGCATAATTTGTTAAGTTATGGTTCATAACCAGATAAGTTATGAACAAACTTGTCAAGTTATGGTTCATAGCCGGACAAGTTATGGACAAAAATGGACAATAACTTATCAAGTTATGGTTCATAACCAGACAAATTATGGACAAAAATAGTAATTTGGCCTATTTATTAACTTATTTAAACTATTGGCCTATTAATTTTATTTATCTCAAGTCTTGGCCTATTTCCATTTTTCTCCCTTGAATTTGAGAGATTGGCCCATTCCCAAAATATCAACTGTTAATTACCGTTCATTTCATCGATTCGAGTTTAGAATTTGAGTTTTATTACAGTAAAAAGTTCTCAGAAATACTTACATTTAACTTTTTTATTACAATAAAAAGCTCTCACATAAATTCATATCTCAACTCGAATCAGCAAACTAAACAGGTCTTAATTTGTTTGTTCTATGCAAAACAATCCAACGGTGCATGGCTCATTCAAGGGGCATGGGGTAGTAAGCAAAATATAAACCGGTTGCTAACCGGTATTTATGGTGCCCAAAAATATATATTTTTTTAAATCTAGGCACTAGTTACTAATTAGTGCCTTAAGCAAGTACCCCTACTTTTTTTAACGTTCTTTTTCTTTTTGTGTTTTAATGACTCCTTTTTTTTTAAGATTAGTGACTCCGTGGATTATATCACTATATTAAACCAATTACTGACATCTAATTAATTTTTCATTTGAATTCTTTAAGGTATTTGTTATTATTTTTATTGTGTAGAATTTAACTTTGTATATGTCTCGACGTTTAGTTAATTGAACATCTCATATTATTAAATGTTGTTTTTTTGTGCTTAATTTGAAACAAAATTCTAAGGTTCTAAATATAATAATTCCAATGTTTTTATTAATCATATCTAACGATACTATAAATATAAGAACATTAATAATGCATATTCGAACTAGGTCATGATAGGGCCACATATAAAATAAGAACAACTAGAGAATTGTGCACTTGACACTAAGGTTTCGTTAATTTAATTAATGATAATCTTGTTATAACAAACAACTTGATTGACAATTACTAATCCTCGAGTTTTTTTAAAGCTTAATTTGAACAAAGAATATAGGAATTCAAGAAATGTGAATCTTCTTCTCTGACTCATGAATTTCTTGTTTTAGTTTCAATCGGGTTCCATAATCAACCGACAACATGTACTTCTTCTCCACCTCAAATAGTTTTTCTGTTCTCCTTTTTCTTCTCAAAAGCCATAATCGTTGTTCTTCTCTAGCCGTGAAACTAAGCGGCACCGACCGACACAAACCGACCATTTCGGTTGGTGTTCACATCCATTTGGTCAATTGTTGCAAGACGTAACATTTAAGATTTTCACGGACTATTTAGATGTATTTATATTTTATCAACATGTTTTGCAATTCAAAAAAAAAAAAAATGAAGTGTAAAAGAGAATAATAAATAAATAAATTGAAAATTATAGGGACAAGATAGGTTGGCTCATGGCACGACCAAACTGACTTGTAGTGTGGGTTTGACGTTTGTCTTATATGGCAAATGTATTTGTTTAGATTAAGATCACAACTAATGCTTTTTAACTTGTTAAAAATTCATTTTGGTATTAAAGAAACTTAAAGTTTGTATGTACTCTATTGTGTTTGCTAGTTAATTTTTATGTACACAATTATACTATAATACCGCGTTTGTAATGAGTAAGTAAAATTATATTGGAACCATAAGTAATTATAACAATTTTTTATTATACTATGTAACATAACTCTTACATTCTTGTAGAAAAATGCATTATTTTTATTATTAAATTAGTTCAAATTAAGTAATATTGATTGTTTATCATTTTGTGGAGTTTTAACAAAAAATTTTAAGAATTTCTTGAGATATCTATCTTTTTTTTTTTTAAATATTCGTCGACATTATCCGTAAATCAAACCTCCACGACCCGATCGACATCGACATTTCCATCCCTGGTTATGGTTTCTCATGTGACCCTCACATGTGATCATACACAGTAGAAAACTTGAATAACCCTACATTTATGTAATGAATACCTCAAACTAAAAAAAAAATGAAAAACCTAAACCCTAAGAAGGAGAGGAGAGGAGAGAGAAAGAGAGAATTCTCTTAGGCTTATCGCGTCATCGGGAACCCAACTCTCAATGCAAACCCAAGTTTAGCCCCATCGCGAAAACCTTGTCAGCTGTTGAAGCCCATCCTTATTGCCTCGCAAATTCTTTTAACATTTCATCCCCTTCCCGCACACACTTTGCAAAAGTTTTGGTTTTGCATTTATTTGGCATGCATAAGTTTTTACTTTTTTTTATTTTTATTACCTCTAAAATATTAATTATTTTATTTGAATAAGCCTAAATATCAAATTTCATGTATTTCAGGTGATGTATTTGCTTAAAAGCTTAAAGAAAGTTAATGATTTTCCTTCAATTGCAAACAGTTAAAACAATTAATTCATCAGTCTATTTGTCACAAGCCAATAATAAGCCATAAAGAATTGAATATGTGGTGAAAAATCACCAAAAAAAAACAAAAAACAAAAAACCCTTGTTTTGCATCAAGAACTCACTAATAATACGGCGAAAACGTTAATAAACAATCTACTTTTCTTCTATCATAGCAAAAAAAGTCTACTTTTACATCGAACGGCTGGTAAGTAAGGCGTCATTCATCATTTACCACACGATGGTGACAACTCGCTGATACGGCTTCCTAGTATGACCAAGGAACAACTCCCAACTCCAAAGTACCAACTAAGAAGTCAAACCTAGTGGGACCCAAAAGAATCTATTGCCACGTGGCACGCGTATGCCCGTAGGATTTAGCTGGTGGACAATGGAGATTAGCTTTGCCGGGACATCCATCACGTGATCTGTAATTTTGTATCACAAAACAGATTTAACAGAGTCCATCAGATGACCT